TCTTTCACCAATCTTCATTTTCATTTTCGAAATTTGATCAATTTTTCTCATTCCGCTCTCAATTAAAATTGCTTCCTATTAATCAACAAAGACCAGAAATGATACTAGGAACAATTTTTTCTCTTTTATCCGGCTTACAAATAATATTATTGAAAGTCAATCTAATTTTTAATTTACCATTGGTTCGAAAAATATTTCTACCCTAACAAGCAAGAAACCGAGCAGGTCATTTAAAAAAAACTGATAGTCATAGGTCTGCATCCGTAGTATAAAATTCTTAGCTTCACAAACTTGTAAACATTATTTTTTGGTTGTTGAGAAATATTTTGTACTAAGTATTTTTATTAGAAATTATTTTTATTATCATATTAATATAGTAATAAAATTTACATTTAATTGCGCTATTTTATTTGAAAAGGAATGATTATTATCTAATTAAAACAAACGAATTTATTAATGCTTAATGTCAATTTTATTAAAAAAATTCTATTGAATTTTAAACAATAATTTCATCAATTTTATATATCTGAGCGTGAAGGTCACGTAAGTTCACTGCTTTTTTCCCATCTCAAAAGTGCCTCAAGGAGGTTTTCTTCAATAGTTTTCACTTCAAAAAGAACAATTTACAATCATTTACTTTGTTACACAATTAACTATCACACAAATATGAAATGGCTTGGTAGTGATAATTTCAATGAGATAAGGAAATTCCCAGGAATTATTATCATCCATAAGTATCTGTAAGTTCATACATCACGACAGAGCTTCGTTCATCAGAGACTCTTGCTCTCTATATTCCTCATTATCTATCTAGTTTTATATCTCCATCATTTGCTGTCTAAGCCGGGTGCCTCAAGAATAACCCGAATGAAAATTAAAGATAGCCTTGCAGGAAACAAACTCTTTTTTAATGAGTATATTTGGAGTAAGGAGTTTTTATTTTACCTAAATAATAATAATAATCCATTTATTGTTTCTCACATAACTTTTACAAACAAATCATATTGAAGCTCTGTAGCCCGTGGTAGTTGAAAACTGTGTTACAGGCTACAGCATCTTCCCCGTTTCAGTGACACATAGTTGTAATGTGACAAACTATTATAGCAAACGGTATAAAAAAATTAATTAGAATGACATCAAAAATAACATATAGGCTAACAAAGTAAAAAGAGAGAAAAAAAAACAATAATAATAAAAACGTCATAATATTGTATAAGAATTATTTAGTAGAAACGATAAGATTCTCAGTAGCGTCATAGTCAAAATTACTTAACCACTTTAGTAAAATTGACTTAATATTATGATTACTTAGATGGGCGGTTTTAAAAATTCTATTTAATTTGTTGTACAGTAATGTAGCAGAATAATTAAAGTGTCTTCTAGCGAAGTTACTCTTGTAGGCAGACAAGGGATAGCGGACCGTCCTCTTATCACTTATTTCTATTTTAGAAGCAGTAATTTTTTGATATTTACGAATAGAATGGAAAATATATAACTTTCGTATGGTAAGTACGCCACATTTTTTGTATAAGTCCTCAGTCGGGTGTCTAAAAGGTAGGCCTTTAATAACTTTCAATAAAGCACGTTGTGCACGTTCGAGTTCAATAAGGTGTGTTTTAGCTGCCCCACCCCACGAACTAATGCAGTAAGTCATAACACATTGTGCCATTATCTAAAACATCTCTTAAGTTTTTAAACACATATATGAGCTTCCTTAATTTATTACTAACAGCAGTGATATGTGCTAACCAATTTAACTTGTCATCAATAATTACGCCCAAGTATTTTACATTGTCACTACGCAATAATGGCAGTTACATTGGAAACCTGTTACAAGAAAATTTATGTATTACTAATTTTGAATTTACACTCGGCTTGCAAGCATTTGTAATGCTAAAGCTTAACAACTTAGTTTTAGATGTATTTAATGATAGTAGGTTGTCTTCCAGCCATGCAGTAAGGGTTTTTAAACCTTCTTCAGCTAACTTGTATACTGAGTTCCAGGTCCGTTCCCAAAATAGAAGTAAAGTATCGTCTGCAAACATCTAAATAGTTGCACCATTTACTACTGTATTACACAGGTCATTAATGTAGATCATCGTGGGGCCCAGTGTACTTCCTTGTGGAATACCATATGTACAGGATGTGCTGTCACTTAGTAAGTTATAAAGTCGTACGTTTTGTTTTCTTTGACTCAGATAGTCTTTAAACCACATTAGCGGGGTACCTCTTATACCTAAGCCTGCCATACGTGCCAGTTGGATGGGAATAGACACTGTATCGAATGCTTTTTGAAGATCCAAATATACGCCATGCATTTATCACCCGCATTCAGATGATTGACTATTTGTGATATAAGATTTTGAATGGCATCATCCGTAGATCGACCGCATCGAAATCCAAATTGGTTATTGGATATAAATTTATGTTATTCCAGATATCTTAAGAGTCTTTTTTCACAATTTTTTCCATAACCTTAGATAAGGAAGTCAACAATGAAATGGACCTATAGTTGGTGGGAAGTCTTTTGTCACCTGATTTGTATAACGGTGTAACTATTGTTCTTTTGAATATATTAGGGAAGGTACCTGTATTCAAGCTCAGGTTACACAAATGCATCATAGGTTCCGCCAGAACATGACAACTGTCTTTCAGTACCCTACAAGGTATGTCGTCCCAGCCAGTTGCACTGGATTGCCTGAGGTCCTTTATGGCACTTACTGCTTCCAACGGATCAACTTGATAAAGCACAGATGAGTTTAGTGGAGCACTTCTTGTAAAGATTTTGGAAGCTAATTCATCATAGTATTTATGGTCTTGAGTGTATTATTAGCTATACTGTTGCCAATACTGGTAAAATACTTATTGATTTCGTTAAGTGATTCCTTTACTGTTGGTTTAATTTTCAAGAGAAATTCATCTGTTTCGGTTCTTTTTGTGAAACCCCCAACTTCTTTAATTATGTTCCACGTTTTCTTACTATCTTTAAGATGTTTTGTAAATTGCTGCTTGTAATAAGTAATTTTAGTATAGTTTCTATAATTTATGTATTTAAATCTGAGTGTGTTATCATTTGTAGACTTTTTATAATTGTTATACAATTTATTTCTTTTTCTTATTGTTCTAATTACTCCGTTCGTAATCCATGGTTTTAGGCGTCTTTTCCTGTTAGAGACTTTTATAGCGTATGTGTTTTTATTTATCACATTTTTTATTCTATCTATAAAATTTTCTGCAGCTTTGTTGGTGTCATTTATAAGTAAATACTCTTGCCAATTTTCCAATGCTAAGTCGTTTTTGATAGCACTGTAGTATTATTTATGTACTTCAATTTGTTATTTTGAGCAGGTGAATTAATATTTTCTACAAGTATTAAAATTGGCGAGTGATCGGTAAGTTCACTAAAAACGAACGGTTGCCATCGTTGTTTTGTTTTTATCATGAAATGGTCAATATAGGTGTTATATCTAGTTGGTTTATCGACGCCCGGAATGAGACCATAATAGGCCAGTTGCGTCAGGTACGAGCGAGCGTGACTAGATATTTGATGAAAAAGAATATCAATGTTGACATCTCCAGCCAAGATAATATTGCGTCGGGTAGGTTCTGAAGTAGGTTACCTAATGAGTCAATATAGTTTGTAGGCTTAGAAAAACAAGGTGGTCTATACATGCAAATGATAACAGTGTCATTCTGCAATGTTACTGTTAAACAATTACCTTCTGTTATATAGTATTCATTCACCGTACATTCTATGGTGTTTCGTATGTAAACTACCACACCGTCGTTTTGGTTATAACTCTTTTTAGTAAAATGTACTTTATAGCCATATATATCGGGTGGATTTTTATATTCATTAGTCCAGCATTTTGTTAGTACTAAAATATCGATAGTGTATTCCAGGCTAGAGAGAAAAATAAGCAATGTATCTAGATTACGATTTATGCTCCGAATATTAAGAGCTAATATTGATAAGTTCTTACAAAAGCTACTCAATAATTCTGAACAAAATGTTATGTCATCTACATAGATACAATGCGGATTCACAGTATTGTCAATGTCTTTAATATTATTTGGATTGAATTTTATGAAAGAATATAACAGTATCAATATACTCAAGGACAAATTTTATGCATATTGAAAAGTATATTAAAGATGGTATATTTTGTGGTATTGTTAAGTATATTTGGAAGTGGATGACGCTTATTATATGTAATGGAAAGTAGGTGTTTGTATGTGTGTTACAAAATACTATCAATATTAAGAGAAAACATATTTTGAAAAATATTAAGGTACTAAATAAAATTGAGTGCTTATAAATAGGCATTAATACTAGTGGTGTAATCTTCAACATAAAGCAGCCGACGAATAGTGCTAGTCACATTTCCTTATTCTTTAGATTATTAATGTCACTTTCCGAATTAATGCCAATCTGTGGTGCACCAGATTCTTTTCTTAAAAACACCTTAACAAAGGAAGCCCAACAAAACTTATAGTTATACATGACAGCATGTTTTCTTGCTAGATAAAAGAGATGTTTACTTTTTGGCGTTAGATTTTCGGAAATGAATACTGGTGTGCGTGGACCTTTGATTGATAATTGGTCTATGTTTAACTTATCGTCCTTGTATTCTTTGTTGAAGTATTTCGAAGCCCTATAAATTTTTCCTTTACTAATACTGTCGTGAACTCGACAATTATCGGCTTGTTTGTTGATTTTTAATAGGGTCTGAAAACATCTTTAATATCCGAGTTCTGTATTGGAATTTTAATTATATTTCCTATAGTTATAACAGTATTTGCCAAATCCTGCTTAGTCTCAATCTGATTTTTTGGTATGTTTCTAATTTCAATACTAGCAGAACGAATCTGCTTTTCTAACTGTTCAATTTTTTCTTCGAATATTCGTGTCTGGCTTCTACCTTCTTTTTTGTATTCTCAAGTTGAACTAATCTCTCCAATACATCATCATATTTTGCCACAGTAAATTCGACAGACTCCTATAATTTAGCATTTTGTTCTTTAATTTGTTCTATTAGCGACTGCAAAGACAGAAAATATTGTTGCTGTTTCTTTTCAAACTCCCCAAACATACATAAAATTTCTGATTTGAATGCTAACATTTCTGATTCTCCAATTTCTTCTTTTCTTCTTTTGCTGCGTTTTGACACATTAGAAGTAAGTTCTGAGTCAGACAACGTTGGCACTTTCGTATTATCAGCTTGCGCTGCTAGCGAGGTAGATTTCGAGCCAGATTGCGTCGGTGGCGGCATGCGGTCAACAGGTATATTTAAAACACAGTACGAAATAACAGGCTTATAATACGTGCAACCGTAAATCAATTAACTACTATTTTAGATCTTATTGCAATAGATATACAGTGTTCACTACACAATAGCTTTAGGTATCTCACTTACTGGTGACAATCGACGTTTTCATACAACTTCACAAGTCGACCAGTCCAAGTTGACCTCATCAACAGCTTCCATGCGATACTGTATTTCTTTCTTCGTCGTACACAAAATAACACAACGCTTATCAAGTAGAACGCAATGAAGATACAATTGTTTCACTTTACCCTATGACATTAATTAGATAGTTCTGTCTTCCTCCACCTTTGGAGTGATCCGACTGTTAATGGAGGGGTACGGGCAATTGTTTATGAACACTTGTAAATACAATAAGCAAGCGCTTCGTTCTTTAACACCTCCTTGCATTTTCTGCACTCCTAATATTATGACTTTATTTAAACTTGTTAAATAATTTATATTTTTTTTAAATGAAATATACGTATTTACTTAAACACGTCTGAACACCTCAGAGATCCGGAGAGGAAGGCAGAAGGAAGAGGGAAGAAGGGAATATAATATCATATTTTGAATATCATGCCGCTCATTAGCGGATGCTGCTATGAACGGGGAAATAAATGCATTTAAGAATATAATACTATTGAGACTACTGCAAAACATCCCAAACCACGTAACTTATAATATTCGTATTAGTAATGGGCACGACAGTGTCCTTTACCAAAGAAAAAAAATGTACCTAAAAAATTAACTAAGAAATTAAAAAAGTAAATAAATTAACTATTTTGTATTACAGTCAGATGACTGTTATAACAAAATAATTGCTATTTATGTAGGGGGTTATTGGCCTACCATTTAAACATGAATAAACATTTAAAATGACCGAGAATGGCCGATTGTGATGAAACTACACGAAAAAATGGGAAGCAATGCTAATAGTGATATAAGCTATATTTAACAAATTATTTTATTATATTATAAGCATTTTTACAAAAAAACTTGGAGACTTTAATTTTAATTAATTATATATATTTTTTTTAATTTGGCTGTCATGGGAGGACACCCAGTAGATTGTAAACATCATAGTTGATGGTAGAACTTTTTATTAATGAAAACCCATAAAGAAATATGAAGTTAAAAAATTAAAAATTAAAAAGACACATCCAATATACAACTCACACAGAGAAGCAACGAAGTGCTTACGCGCACGCACACACTAGTGAGTGGAGGGTGGTGGCGTACAGGAGGCATGACGACATAAGAGAGCGTCACAGAATACAAGTCGGTTATATTGTCAAAGCGTGCCAATAGATGTTTCATATCAAAAATCTAAGTAACACCACTTTTATAGATTTCACTCAGACGGCGCGACACCGGGGCAGGTTGCTAGCTAATCAACTTTTAATACCACACATATTGAGTTTGCTCTATTTTCTGACCGTAGGCAGGCCTTTGGACAACCACGACACTAAATAAAAGAGATAATCTCTTTTATACAAAACAATGCATACGCATAAGCGTTCAACACATACAACAGTTGATTCAGCTTATTTAGAATATGGATATCTTTTACTGAGAAATTATAAAAGGCTAATAGAAATATAGCACCTTTTCATTACTTTGAGGCCGTCAATAATAAAACTGTGAACGAGGATCTGACAATCGAATGACGATACTAAATTATTATAAAACCTTGCACATATTATATACCCATATAAAAATAAAAGAAAACTTACTCTTATGTTTATTATTGAATTTCTTTCGTAGATTGGTATCTAAGAAATCTATTAATAACATCAAAAGCGAATCAAATACTTGTGTAAATAACATTAGAGCCAATGCCTGATTTTAAAGACTGTATATTAAATACGATAGTATCTCATAAATTACTCTTTTTTTTAACTATCTTCACGAGTTTTGCTGGGGTCGCACTAACGGGAAACGCCGTTAATTATCGCAACGATGGACGTTTCACGTTGGTATAGCCTAGATATAACAAATTATCCCGAAAATTTTACAACTTTTCCTGCAGACCGGTCATGCAGAATAATTTTAAGACTGATTCTAAGTGGTTACTGCTGTCCTTGTTTATAAACAGCTAAGCATTGACACAGCTATGCATGTGTTATAAAAAGCCTATCCTGTGATGAATTTTTGGCCTGTGCGAGATTTACGACCTACACAATTCTTACTCATATAAAATGTATTATGGGGTGCGCAGTTTATTACTGAGATACCTACAGCATTAATAAAATATAATGAAATTATTTTTGAAAGATATAAATTAACATTTTTATAATATGATATTTTTTAATTAAAGGAAACTGAGCATAAATATCCGTCAAGGATGCAGACATTTGAAAATAAACTGAGCTAAATTGATTCGTCAGAGATGTAGTTTTCTGAATTGAAAGGAAACTGAGCCAAATAAAATATCCGTCAAAGATGCAGCATTTTGAGTTGAAAGGAAACTGAGCTTAATAGGTCCGTCAGAGGTGCAGCATTTGGAATTGAAAAGAAACTGAGCTAAATAGGAAATTTTGAATTGAAAGGGAAGATCTGTGGGAATTCCGATTAATTGATTGTGGGAATTTTGGAAAAAAAAACTAACTGAACACTATTTTAAGACGCTACTGTACACAATGTTATATGTTTTACCATTCGGGGAAAGAATGTGGAGATTCTGGGCATTTGAGACACGCGAACATGCTACATACAGCTGACCATGAGAGAAGCACGGTTTTTCTCAGTTGACCCCCACTACCTGTAACGTTTGCCCTTGCGCTTTATTAATTGTAATTGCAAAATTGAGCTTAATAGGGAACTGCAACCTTTTAAATTGAAAAGGAAAATCTGTGGAAATTATAAAGATCCGTGGTATAATAACATTTTCACCTTTTCCTACGCCTTTCAAAATTGTAGCACCGATTATGTTCCGTCCAAGATGTGTCACACGCAGCCTTGTCCCGTTACATAACGGAGGAGCATCTAAATTTCGTATTAGCATAACTGGGACGCCTAATTTTAATTGAAGCTTATGTGAGGGCACACCTGACAACTCTAGAGAATTTAGAAACTCTACGGGATATGAAGTGCTCTGTTCTGTGTCCATAACTGTGTCTACTGACAAATACTCGCAATTAATTCGGAATGTCTCTGTACTAAATAACAAAAATCTCTAAACTGAATTTTGTCACCTTGTTCCATAAAATAGACGACTTGAGGCATGCTTTAATTTCATCTGCAGGTGTGCCCTTTTGAATGATAGGTAAAGTTTGGCGAAAGTCCCCAGCCAGTAAAACCACCATTCCTCCCACTACATCGGTATTGCTGCGCAAATCCTGGAGCGTTCAATTTAGTGGTTCTACAGTTTTTTATGCGATATTGTACTTTCGTCTTATACTAAAAGTTTGCATTGTTGTAGCATTATAGCTCGTGCACTATTTTTGCTAAAGTTGCAGATCGGCGATTCTTCCTGGGCTAGATTTAGAGGGAGTTTTAAAACAGAATGTGCAGTGCGGCCCCCGCTTAGCAGCGTGGCGGCTATACCGGAGGAAGCTACGGCCACAGCAATGTTTTTATCTTTCCGTACTTGCGCTAATAATAAATTTAATAAAAATGTCTTCCCAGTTCGTCCAGGGGCATCTAGAAAGAAAAGTACACCATTTCCAGATTCAATTTGTCCTAATACTTTGTCAAAAACTCGTTTTTGTGCGGGAAGCAAGCGGGGTAAAAAATCGGCTACTTAGTGCTGCAAAGCTGGTAAATCGTAGTTTGTTTAACGTATAATTTCATCACTTAGTTCATTTTCGGTTGTTCGCTGAGGGCTTATCATTCCAAAGTCGCTTAATTTTTTGCCTACCATTGCCATTACTTTATCTTCAATTTTTCCAAGTGCTTTATTATAAATATGTTCATTATATGTCATGTTCATGTGTGTCTGCTGTAACCTTCGCAAAATATCTTCCGCCATGTACTCTTTATATTTGTCCCATAATTCATGTGCATTAGATAACTCGCAAGATGATATGAGAGTTGCATAAAAATCCCTAATTTTGGCTGGTGACTGGCACTGCACAGCTTCCTCCTTGGTTTCATCCCAGTGATTATCGTTTTCTAAAAGATGCAGAGCTTCACATGCTTCTCTATAAGTTGCGCATTCCTAACCGTTGACAGTTTTAAGGTCTTTATATCCTATAGGATCCCGAACATAGTTCAGTAGCAATTGTAAACAGAAACATTTAAAATTAGTTACATGGACGGTATACACACGACCAAGGGCATCTGATGACATTACACCGGGCCAATTTGCAACAGGTGCGCCTTGAATACGGCGTTTCCACTCCTTTCTAGATGTGTTCCAAGTATAATAGCGGGAGACTTCAGAATATAACAACGTTTTTGCAAAGGGGTCGGTTTGCCAAAGTTGAAAGAAGGCTGTTAGTGTAGTTTTTGGCGGTGATGCAATTCTTTCTTGGAAAATTCTTTCGATGAAATATACACGCTCTCCATTTTCTAAGTGCACAGCAAGGTGAGTAACTGTTGGGTGCCTTTCGTGTAAAGGGAAGCCAAGGAAATGCCACGCTGCCTCGTAACTGGTGACATAACGCCCTGCTTGAAAGGTCTGTACTTCATTAACGGGGTTTGCCTCACCTTCACTCCTGAGATTAAATATTGCTTGGTCGCTTCTTTTATTTATGTACTTATAGATATACTTGATTGCGCGGACGGAGCTACATTAATGTGGGCATTAAACATTTTACATAGAATGGGGAAATACGAGACAATCCAGCTGTTATCTAAGGTTTCGAACGCTCCAGAGCGAGATTTGATTGTAACATTCCTGCCACCATCTTTGGGAGTTCTGCGTCTGTATAAAGGGTAGCCATTGTCATTGTGCACTATTTCTTTTTGTTTAGGGAACTCTTTGTACATTTTCCTTCTTTCATACATGTCGATATTGAATT